TAGCAAGCCATGTCAAATCCGGTAGTTTGCTAAGGGCATGGTCGCTATATGTTTCCGCCCTCATATTTTTTATACGTATACAAGACAACCACTACTACAACTATCATCCAGAACACAAGTGTTTATTAACAGCTGTATACCCGAAATACTTGGGATCCGTTGGCCAGACACTATCAGCAACAACCTACTGTGGGAGAGAAGAAACCAGTTTCCGATGGAGGAAGAAATGAGGAAGAAGTTCTGCAGGTGGATAGGACACACATTGAGGAAAGCACCTAACTGTGTCACAAGACAAGCTCCCACTTGGAATCTCCAAGGCTAAATAAAGAAGAAGAGGAAAACCGGAGAACAAATTACGTTGAGAAATGAAGACTGATATGAGAAGAATGAACAACAATTGAATAGGATTAAGGATGAAGTCCAAGGGCAGGGTGAGTTCGAGAACGCTGGTCGACGGTTTATGCTCCATTTGGAGTAACAGGAGTAAGTAATTACGTAATGTCGCTGATATTATTTTCCTCACAGAATATCTGATGTGGCTGAAGCGGTCATTCTTCACTCCGCATCCAGCCTGAAGGGTCACCTAACGATGGAAAAGGCGCGAACAATGAATTGAATGGACTGGAGTTGATCGGATGGCATGGCTCGGCCATGCAGGCGTGGTCCATCTGAATGTTAACTTATATCTTCTGTTCATATTAAATATACTGTTCCTTCTCTAGCCTAACCTTGTTCTATATCATGTATTGGTAATTGACACGATACAGTGAGTTGGTGTAGTCGATGATGGGACTTCCACGATTAGGTCCATTATTAGAGCAGTACTAATATTATAGTAGATCATAATTCTTTAGTTGTAAATTATATGACCTCCTGTTTCATGTGAAGTTATAACTCTCAATAAACACAGCCCGGATTATTATAACAGGGTAATTAGATAATGTGACCATTTTGGTGATTATTTGGGACAAAAAGCATTGCGAAATCAGCATAGGGAAGACAGACAAGAGAAGTGTGGAGTAAGTACACTACCACATGCTACAGTCCATCGCATAACATTGATTAATCCACATTAGTCACTACCTCGACATGGTATAGTTTAGCAAACTATTCAGCGCTTAATGGTCTGCCAGTTAACGTGGAAACATGGCAGCTTGATTTATGAATTATGGTTTCATTCTACTGTTATTACACTGGCTTATATCACATTGCCCTTCAAGCTACTAAACTCTGGTCAGCTGATAAAAACCCAGTGCGTAACGAATAGACGTTGTAAAGGAAGTTGGTATTTGAAAGTATCGACCTCTGCTTCGCTATATTTGACCTAAGAAGTTTGGAGCTAATGTATTTGTAGAATTATGGTCTACTTCAACATTAGCACTGCTCTGATAATAGGCCTAATCAAAAAATTGTGGATTTGTCATGATATAACTGCCTAATCTATAAGATCTTACGTGCAAGTCACATCCTCTTCTACCCTGACTCATCGTATTGTAACAGTCGTCAACATATGAAGAACACATTTGGGCTGGAGATAGAACAATTTATTTAGTATGTATAACAATTATTTCATATGGTTATGACCATGACTACAATGCCGAGCCATGCCATCCGATCAATCAGTTGATTCAATTCCTTCTTCCTACCTTATCCATCGTTGGGCTTTTCTCCGCGTTAAATGTTGAATATCTATTTTCCCATTTGTCTCGTGTTCGGATTTGAGGATTGTGTGGTTATAGCTCAATGCCATTACATGTTCACCAGGCCTAGTGGGAAGACTCAAAAGTTAGTGTTGAGGTGAGACGGATGGAAAACTTACGTTCTTTTCATTTTATCATTGTCGTTTCCTGTTACGTACTGTATATTCTCTTTCCATAAGGACTAAAAAACGCGGATATCCTATCACCTTTTTGTTTGAACGCCGTGACATGCTGGTCAACTACCTGTGATATCTCATAAGTTGGGGTATAAAACCACTTCGTACTACGACGCAATGAAATATTGAGTACCTTAAGATTATTCGGGTGGTTATTCTGAAACACTCCGCACCTGTTATCAAGAAACATCATCAACTCTGATAAGACCTGAATCCCTACCCGTTTATTTTCTATCAGATTTTCACTTTTGACAGACGTTTTTCCTTTCTACTACTTTCTGACCACCAGTCCATTCCCACTCATTTATTTTACGTTTGGAGACATACACTTTATCTTATGCATTATGTATAATATAATATATATAATATCATTGTCTTTCCACAGTCCATCAGCTTTAACTTTTCGATGTGTTTGGATATGATTCCTGAAGGATTGATGTTTTCTAACGGGATCTGCAATGAAGAGCCTGCGAATTACTTGTTTTGGTCAATCCGACTTCTCAGCCTTTTCTCCTCAACTTTTTTCAGGACCACGATTGTAACACGTAACTCTGGGGCTTCAGGTCAAAATTGGATCATATATGCGTTCACCAAAGTCACAACTTGTACAGTCGGCCATTTTCGGATAGTTATAGAACCTCACATTCATTGTACGGTTTTACCATACAAACCTATTTATTAGCTTACTGGTATACCCGCATAAATATTCCGCTACACAATTTCGACGACTTTATCTTTTTAATAACCCTACTTGGGTAGTAACTTGTTTGCGATCTCATGTTGTGGATTACTGACCATCCCTTTTATGACGGAGTTAGCCTGATGTGTCAGAAAAAGGTCACACGATAGTTCTTTAGTCCATTTGAAACCATATTTTTGCTCTAATCATACTAAATGCTTTGCTGTCAACTATTCCTCATAACGTATTCAGACCACAAACTCCGGCAGCCAATGTAGTTTTTGCTGTGTCTCAGTGATAAGTCACTGCTGCATAGATCCTGAAACTCCAAAGTTGTCAAACCACACAGTTCTTCAGAGTTACTGTTCTGTTTCAGGCTAAAGTTGACAGTTTGACATTTTGAGAGATTAAGTGTGAGACCATTAACAGCTGAACACTGTTTAATGAGAGACAGGAATCCATTCATTTCAAGGGGCTGTGGAGAGTTAGAAATCAGCACACATTCAGTGAGATCGTCCGTATGTTTTACAAATGTATTTTTTGGAAGATGGCATATCATGCGGAAAAAAAGGGAAAAGAAGAGGGAAATTATTGCTATAGTTTTAAATTTTAAATTCTTATAATCAGTTATTCCTTAGGTATTGGGGTCATTTTTATCTTTCTCCGCATTTTCGGATGGTAAATATCAAAACCTTTTAGTGATGATAAACAATCGTCTTGAACTGTGATCACGCCGCAGTTATGATACGTACTTGGACATTGTAGAAATTGAAGATTGTCCACTTTGTCAAATAATAGTTTGCAGTTAGAAGTTAGCTGTTCAGGAATCGACATCTGAATAATGTTCATTCTCTTCAGTGCATATCACCAGTCATAAAATGACTCTGATTACACTTTTAATATCATGTAAATTGATGAGTCATATGCCTTTCGTATACACACCTCAATAGGTCGTGCGATTAATATACACAATGGTGTGTTAAATCAAGCAATAAAGGCAACTTATCGAGATATCTGAAAGGTAGGAATATGTTTCCCGGTTATTCGAGTAGGTCACCTCAAATGTTGAATTGGGTAATCTAATCCTTAGAAAGATTAGGGCACGTTCTTTTCTTCGCTCTGATAGCAATAAATCGCTTGCTGAAACAGCAGTCACTACCTTTGATCTGCGTCGGTAGATGTTAAAGTAAATTCTCGTTTTGTAGATAACAACATTGATACTCACTGTCAACAGATAACAAAAACATTGAACACTATTTTACTTGGACTATTGGTTGGTAAGTTTGTTAATGAGATTTACGAAGCTTGAAGCTGAAAATTTAGTTGAGCACCGATTCCTATAAGTGTATGAAAGACTACTGACTAGAATGCGAAGATTTACAAAGAAATTCTCAAATAGCTGAAAATGTCAAGATCAGATTTCTAGCTTCGTCTGTGTTGTGCTAGTTACAGATAGGAGAATGCAGCCACTGAAGTTTCTCACGTACTAAGTCTGAACAAAAGGCGACTCAACATAAGATTATCATGTGGATCCACGAAGCGGAACTTGTCGGGTCGGTCATCGGAAAAAAAGCATTCACACATAATTCCATTGTCTTACTATTATTTCGCGCACAGTGGAATGCTTAAAAAGTTGTTTCGGTCAAAGATCTATTAACCTGGGAACTTCTGAGAAGCCTGAGCGTCTGTTGTGTCCTTGGGGGAAAGCCTAGCATATGGTGGGGCTCAACATAAACAAAGATTTGTTTCCCTTCTGTTTTTATTTAACCCCTGATTCCTTCTCTAAAATTCTAATAATCATCGTTGTACATTAGAATCATCTCCCGTCTACTTTTCAACCTATTAGCTGCGTGGTAAGACTAGCTAAAAATGGACGTCGCACAAATTAAGAACTATAATGCAGTATCGTAACTATAAATTCAACTAAAATCTCCCTGCTTTTTCTTTTATGATCCACGCTTCTTCCTGTTTTTATGTGCCAATACACTTATTCACCTATCTGCCTGGTCAATTAAATTATTTACTAATTTGTCTGTTCATTTTGAACACTTATTCCCTTCTACTCATTAGCATCACAATCTTAAAGGGTTTACGATCCAATTAACTAGCCTGCTGTCATGTAAAGTTAGAGCTACTTTGCCTTATAAACCTTTTTTGTCTATGATAAATCTACTTACTCATACTCAAGAAATTCCATCCTCCAAGATGTTAAATTCATTCGTAATACTACAGTCTAGTTTCTAAAACACCCGTGTAGAACTACTGAAAATCAAAATCCGTGCTTTAAAAATGATATATGACTACGAAAAAAGAAAATCTGTATACATTTATTCGTCACAAACATATTGGATGTTGAAGAGGGGGAGTTCAGACAAAGCAGTGGCTGTCAGATGAGTCAAAACTCAAGGTCGTCCCTGGCTAAAACAATTAGCGGGTCGACAAAGCATGGAGAAACAAATATTTGGCTTAAAATTCGCTGCAAAACAAATGCAACGTTGTGCAATTCGTTGCAACAAAGACGAGGTGGAGTCTAAGAATAAATTAAAGGCTGCTATCAAGAAGGGGGACCATGAAGGTGCAAGAATCCATGCAGAAAATGCGATTCGACATAAGCACACCGCAACCAGCTATCTGAGACTTGCTGCGCGAATCGATGCTGTTGTCTCTAGGGTTCAGACAGCCATGACTACCAAGAATTTTACTAAGAGCATTATGACAGTTGTCAATTGTATGGAAAACGCAGCCAAGTCTATGGATATGGAAAAGGTTAGCTGTCTCATGGATAAATTCGAAAGAGAATTCGACAACATGGATATACAGTCAAAGGTTTGTTTAGTTATTTATGTTGGTTTCACTTAAATAGCTTGTGAGCTCCTCGCTGGCCAATGCGATGTCCATTTCAACTCCTGAAAATGAAGTTCAAGGACTGATAAATCAGGTAGCTGACGAGACTGGAATAGAACTAAACTATGAACTCCCTGGTTCTACTCACGGTCCAGTTTCGGTGGCCCCTATTTCAGCGGAGGAGGAAGATGGTCTCACGCAACGCTTAGCTAGACTTAGACAATCGTGAGATAGATTTTTGTTCAGCTGAATTTGTTTCACTTCATTTATTTCCCTTGATTTTAACTTAAGATAACCTAACTTTGCGTTTGTAACCTGTTTTGTTGACTTTACTTGAACGTAATTTGTATTTATGAACACTACTTCAAATCAAGAGTGCATTGTGATGTTTCTTTTGGTGTTTTAGAAATTATGATTTGTTTTTAAAGCTACATTATATTCTTTCCATCAAATTTGGCCAAGTTTGTGGCCTGTTTAGGTCGTTGGGGAGATGAGTTCCATGATACTAGGTAAACAAAACAAGCACTTTTGGACGCTACATGGTTGGAATGTTGTAGACATGAACTTATTTGCTTTTAATTAATTATTTGAACAAACACTGGTACAAGAGGGCACTGAATACATATGCGCCACACAAATAATTAAATTTTCATGAAGGCTGGAATACCACCCAAGTGCCCAAAGCGAAGCAGGTGGTTTTCTTGGGGATGAAGGGCACTCCTCAAGCCCTTGACTTAAGGGTCTAATCCACAGAGTGGTGGAGCGACGTATGGAGATGCAGTCCCATAGTAGTCCATGATTAACAACTGATTCACGCGCCGTTTGTTACTTTAGGATCCTGGAGCACATGTGCACTATTGGTTTTGGAATGAGGGTTTTCCAACTCCCCTAGGTTTATCCTCCATATCCACCAACCCGGTTAAAGCGTCGGACATTCGTTTGTCATCCTCTTGATTTTATAAACATCACTCCTTTCGCGAGATGGCAGTGACTTGAACTTTCCTGATAGTGGCTGTATATGCATGACCATGTAAGAGCATTTAGAAAGAGCTAACTCATATGTCTAACCAGCTTCTTCGGTGCCCTGTGGTTGCCGATACCAAAGCAGGTTCGAAAGTGCCAGAGGTTTGACGAGTCAGGACATTTTCCCATGAAATCGTTGAGTTCGTTTGAGCCATGTCGTTGGGTACAGACTTTCTCATTGGAGTCCGCATAGAATTCGTAATCACCTGTTAGGGATGTTGGATTACATAGGACAAAATTAGTCAAAATGGTGCAGCTGAACTTAATGTCCATCTCTAGTTCAAATTTGAGTTAAATATCACTTATTAATTTAGTCTCAACTGTATGGACTTTATTTCTCATTTCTGGGTTTCCGTTGCTTACGATATTATTTCCCGCCGTGTGTTTCTCGTCCTAGTTAATGTCTCCGAGCTATCGTGAGAGACGGCATGCTTTGTCTTCAAGGAGTTCATTTCTCTGTTTTTCATCTCTTTACCATCACTGATACCGTAGCATTCGTATAAATAGTGTCATCCCACTTTGTTGGTGTGGTATGACAGTTTGAGCCAATATCACAAGTTTGCCAGATTCTTACTGTATATATGACTAACTAGTTGGCTGTCATTTGTTGATATTGCACCACCATCATCCATTTCCATCAGTAATATTTATCCTATACCCAACATGATTAGATTCTATCAATCACTGCTCCTCGTTACGGCTTCGTCTTTCCGCTAGTTGGCACATTATTATTGTTATCATGGGAGGTTTGCGGAGATTTCTTAATGTTATGGAAAATATTATGCATTTAATATCTAGTGCCACTATGTTATGAACAAACATTAAGAGTTTCACATTCTATAAAGAAAGCTGCGAAAGACAAAATGGTTGTCAAATCGTTCCATAATTCTTGTATAATATTTTAAAAAATCTTTACGAATTTAACGGCTTAGTATTTCAGGAAATATAAGTACGGCAATTAGTAAGAGATGACAACCCATCCCCAAGCTTATATGTACTTATGTTGGAGCTTTATAGTTCGTGTATACTGTTAGTTTTGTTGTGTTTATTTTTTGCTCAGGGTAGTCTAACTGCGAAGTTTATAGTGTCCTTCTCAGCCAGTTCTGATTACTCTGACTATGAATGACTTTTGTTTGTCCTAGTGTTCCTGTTGAAGCATTTGTTCTTTTCTGTTCAAAAGGTCCGACAAACTAATCAAAAGAACTAAACAGGCTCGTCATATAATGACAGATCACAAGATATGATCATTGGTGAGTGAGATGCAATAAACCCACCAGTTATCGGTTCTACGGCAGCCGGGAACTACGTATATTAGATACCTCATATCATCGGTTGTGTCACTCCCGGAAATTCCAGCCTACATTTCATCTTGAGAACTTAACAAGGTGTTACTATGCCACATAGTAATAATATTATTTGCGCAGATGTTAACGTTACTGTAATGCCTGCTTCTAATTTCTACAGAGCATCAATCTGTCGTGACACAATCCTTTGCTTGATGTCAGATAGCATTACAATCTAAGTTACATAACTTCTAACCGGTTACTTTGAATTATCTAACGTTCATTATACTATTCTCGATCGTCTGAAAGTAGAAGACATGCATAAACCACGGGTTTTACTAGTACATCCTGTTCTCTTGCTATTGACCTTATTAATTCCATCTTGTCGTGCCAATGTGATACGGGACACTATTGAAGATGGAACAACTAAACATGAAACGTAGAGTACTATTTAGGTGACGTAAACCCGTTAGGGAAAAGACCACTTTTTATCAACAGAAGTAGCTGAAATATGCTACAAATATCTAACCACGGTGTATATGAACACGCTATACTGCATAGTGTACGAATATGTTAGGAAAGCCGGCGATTAGAACGAGAGCATTAGTATATGATACCATTAATTCGTTTAAGCCGTAATTAATAGTTTTAGTCATTTAAGTGGTGTTGTATTTTATCAGTCGTGATAGCTTAGTTGTACAAATTCCAAATCTTGAACGCATTTCGTCTACTTTCATTCACTGATTTTTTTAGTCATCAGCACTATTTTACAAAATTGTTTTATGCATATTGTATGTTCCGTGCATTTGTAAAAATAATTTTTTTATAGTCGAAAAACAATTCTTTACAATCATTGCTTTCATGTGACGAAGTATTTGCATTGTATGTGTATAGGGTTTCACTGTAATGTTTAAAATGTTTTCTTTCGCTTTACAATAAGACGTTTGTCAGTAATAAAGTAATAGTCAATATTTTTAATAGTTGAATCCATGAGTCAATTGAAGCTAGACCACCATTGATAACCTGGAGGCATCGAACGGCCGTTTCGTCCTAGTATCGGACTCCTCAGCAGTGCACATCCACGATCCCGCCTCGCGAGATTCGAACCCAGGGCCTATCAGTCTCGCGTGCGAGCGTTTAACCGCCCTCTCCAATTATAACTGTCAATATGCCTATTTTTTCTGATGACCATTTAGTCCGTATAGATGGTACATAAATTTGTTTAAAAAATTCAGTTTGTTTTCTCTCTAAATATAACACTATATATATATATATATATATATATATATATATATATATATATATATATATATATATATCGTTAAAGCCTCGGAAGAATAAAATTTTTCATGTATACAATAAGACGCTATAGAATACTAAATATTCCAACTTCTATTACATTGGATTATTGTCCGGGATATAGCAACTATCCTACAACCAAAATCCATTATGATTAACCCGTTTTTATTAACTTACTTAAAAGAAAATGTTATTTGAACAGTGACAATTCGCATATTTCTTTGTACAGTTATGATCATGAGATCAAATGATAGACTACAGCTAAAATTTCGATTGCTTAAACGTCACTCGATAATTCATTCTCTTCCCCATGTATATATGTACTCAAATCCTATTATCAATCCTTGCTTTGCCTTGTTGCGTCCTTATACAATTTGACTATTAATTTGCCTATGTAGTTGCTCGCATATTAGAATTCGCTCGATGTGCTTGTAGCTCTGTGGTCTGTGCTATCCCCTAATAAACTACAGTTGTGCTTCTCATTGCCTTTTGATTTTAAACATCTTTAAGGTTTACACAATAACGGTTACAATGGTGATTAATTAACAAAGCACAGCCACTCCAGAGAGTCGTGTGTTGAAGTCTGCACTCACGGTTAGATCTCTTTTTATTTTTGTTTGCTATTAGGAAAAGTGATCAAGTAAAACATTATAAATATTGTTTATTTGGTTATACACAAGATGTATCTTCCATTAAATGATAATATGTTGTTAGTTCACTTGTAACTGTTTATTAATTTTTTTGTTCAGGTCATAACAGACAAGAATTAGTCATTAGCTAACAGTCAATCCCTTATAGTCCGGTTCTTTGTAAAGTAATTTCTCAATCAAGCATCTAAGTTTATTTATTGAACTTTTCGTCATATACGATTAGTGTGTTATCTATGTATCAACAGTAAAAATCTAGCTTACTTAGAATGTCTTTCAACAGGTCCATTTTCTAGTTTGTCCAGGAAATACTTAAAAAATTACACTGCATCAAGCTGCAATTTGGAATTAGAAAAATTTAGAAATTAGCTAGCATTCGTATCTTTTCTAGAAGTTTTTAGAAAGACTACTGCATAACTATACAGAACCACAGCTTCACATGACATCATGATTAGATAAAAGGAAGTAAACGATGAACATTTACATAAAGTCGACATATATGTTTAGAAGTCGATCAAATGAAGAAATGGACAGTCACAAATATACTAAATCACATAAACATAACATCAGAACCTTACCACTAAAATATATGGATTCGGTTATGTGGATTTTTTTCATACCGATATTTACTTGTATCTCATTTCGATATTGACTACGTTCATCTTGTCATTGGTTGGTTGATTAATGTCTTGTTAGACAAAATAGTAAATAAACTTAAGGTGATATGTAGGAAAACATAATCTTGAATAAATATTAACATGACTAATTCTTAAATTCACTTGGTATTGTTTATTTGAATCTTCCCATTGATGTTTAAGACTGCAGTTGATCAGTCTCTCATTGGCATATGTTCATACTGTGTGTATTGCATTGATATTACCTTAATCCAAAAGCATTATATGCAAAGATGGATAGTGGCTAGCAGTGGAATCCAGGATGCACGTTTCGTTCTATACCGAGGTAATACGCACGGTGTA